CAGTCCAGAGTAAAGCCCTATAGACTTCATTCTTAAATCATAAACCCAGGTGTCCCCTGTGTGTGTGTGTGTAAAATCAAAGAGTAAAGATCTACTGTATGAGTAAATACAATTTAATTTGAACTATTTAATGCACAAAGATGAAGTAAAAAGCAAGCATTTTTCTTTTTGTAAACATTGTCCTTATTGTTTCTCTTTTTCAATATTCTTATCTATTGAAATTCCTTACTCTTATACGTTTCACCATGAAACTGATGTTACGGATTCCGGAGAAGTCTGTGGTCTGGTAAATTGTATCAATTGCTTTAACATGACTGGATATCTATTGATTAAAAAAAAAGAAGAAGAAGAATTTTTTAGAGGCAATGTTGAAATGTAAAAAAGATTGTGAATTTCCATTTCCCAAATCAAGAATTATTCATATTCTACCAAATTCAAATTTTAAAGTGTCTGTATCATATACTGTACAAAAGGCTGAAAAATATCAGTGAACTGCAGCTGAGAGGGAAATTCTGTGACTTCTCCACTTTTCTCTGGTCAAAACAAACATGTACTCTTGCCTCAGCTATATAAAACTTTGTTTCCTCGATCCATCCCAAAACATCATACCTCCATGCCCTTCACATGCTGCTCCTTATGCCTATGGTATTCATCCCTTAGACTCAGCTCAAATATCTTCTGGGAATACTTCCCTGATAATATCAGGACACTCGGTCATTCTGACTTTAGTCTTTCCATTACTGCACTAGTGCACGTTCTATAAGTTTTGTTCACCACTTATTGTATACTAGGCACTGTTTTAGGTGCTGGGGGCATACTGGTGAACAAAATTGAGACCATCCCTATAAATTTAGAGATTTATTCTAGAGGGGGAAGAAGAGAAGAAAGCAATACAAATATAAATAACATACATTCAGATTTTGCTCAATTGTACAAAGAGATAAACAGGGTGACAGAACACAAAAAGAACCCCTGTTTACCTAGCTGACTCCCAACTAAACTGTCTGGTTTCTAAACCATTCTATAGCAACCTTCCTATCCTCAGTTACAAAAAGCACTCTTGCTACCACTTATGTGAAAATATGTATATATACTTTCGAAACTATTTTCAAAGAAACTGTATAAACATAAGAAGCATTAACAATAATAATTTCAAAAGTAGCCAGGTTGGCAAACATTGATAAAGAACACCATAATGGTGCGGATAGGGTCCATCATAAATTCACGCCATCTAACCTCAGCTTGGCCTACCAATCCTTATCCAATTCTCACTGTGTCTACTAAACCCCCAACGGGGGCCGTTCAAACATTTCTCCACAGATGATCTCATGTCTTAATTTACTTAAAGTCTATCTTGACTTCCCTCTCTTAACTTTCAAATTTTTCTATTTTTAATCCATTGCTGTCTTCCTCAAATGGTAACTCTTCCTTAAAGTGTAATTTCTCTATATTCCTGATCCTAACCCTTGCTGGACCTTAAGGAATGTTGTTTCCCATCAATTTTTATTTTTCTTACATCTTATACTGCTTCTCTACTGGGTCATTTTCCTCTTTTTACCAACTTCTCAAGAATTCCCCTTTCACTCAAACATTTCATATTATTTCTAAGCCACCATTTTTTTTTTCAGTTTTTCACATCTCTTGAAACGCTAACTGCTCCTGCCAGCACATTCCTTATGGTCTGCAATGTTTTCACCATCACAGCTTTATTGAGAGTGTGCTTAAAGCCCATCAGTAATCTTCTAATAACTGAAAATCAACTAACTTTTATAATCATTCTCTTTTTTGGCATTACTGAGGCATAAATGAAAAACAAAATGTAAGATATTTAAAACGTACACCATGATGATTCAATATACATGTACACTGTGAAAGGATCCCTACCATCTAGTTAATTAATACACTGTGGTCATTTTCTTTGATATCTCTGTGATACGACACTATTAGCTATGCATTTTGTTTTGAAACTTTGCTTGTTCCTTGGCTGATCTTATTTAACCTCCTACCTTTTCAACTATTGTATTTTACCTCATAGCTTCTCCTCCTCATCCTACTCAACAGAAGGAGACTGTATCTCCCAGTTCTTTTCCTTCTGATTTCATTCTTTCCCTTTCATTCTCTCCCCTTAACTATCTCTTTCGTATCCTTAAATCACATGCAGAAAGCTCAAGGCTAACCTCTCCCATGCACATGGGCTTCTGAACATGTCTAAAAATAAGTTCATCACTACCGTCAAAATTAGTTCACCACTTGTACTACTGGTGCCTCGATCCTCCCAGTCTCAAATCCTTGGACTCAAAACGCATTCATCAAACCCTCAATGGATACCATCAACAAAGGCTACTTTGAAGAGTATCTCAGGAAAATTTATATTTTAGTAAGGTTTGAAAAGACATACATGGAGATAATAACGTAGCTCAGAAAGTGCTAAACACAATGAAAATACAGAACAGAAATTAAATATTCTTACTGGAAGGATTCCTAACTTTCCCTCCTTTAAGACCACAAATGAAAATATGACCCTCTTTTCAAAGCTAAGCTCCAATATCATCATCTCCATGAGATCATTTTCTTACATTTCTCTCTTGAATGACACTAAAATATCCTAACTGGTCTTTCAGTAATCTGTGTTCTTATGATACATATTTTATCTTATCACAATTGGAAATACATCTCCTTATTTTTCCAAAATGTGATATACAGTAATTTTAATTTTTAGAGGAAAATATAGGTATAAAGAAATAATATGACAGTATGTGAAACAAAATAGTAGCAAAATTATAAATACCTGGGCAATCACAGCTTCTCGTGTTCCATAATATTTAAAGAATAGATGATCAGTCTGAATATAAAGCTGACAAGTATTTTTTTCAGCTGAAGTTGTACGTTTTTTCCTCCGGAGTTCTGGACCATTAACAGTATGTTCTTCATGAGGTGTCTATATGTCAAAGAAAGTCATTTCTGATCATTAGCATGCTTCACTTATTATAATTTTATATAGTTAAGATTACACATTATAAGCAACTTCATTTTCTGCTTTATTATGTGAGACCATAGGTATTTCTTCATGCTGTTAAAATTTCTTCATAAATATCACTTTCAGTCTGGTAACATTCTACTGTGTAGATGATTTATTTATTCAAGCAATTCTTTCACTCTGAAACACTTTCAAAACATACCCTTTAATAACCTGAATAAACTATGGACTTTAGTTGATTTAAAAAATATCTTTTAATGTGTAATCATGTAAATATAAAGCAAGTCTTACGGTAGCTTACCTATTTTACGCTACCTCACCTCTAATACCTAACACCACCTCTAATTTCACCCAGCCCTGTCAAATTTAGCTCCTAAATACTTAGGGCATCTGCCCATCACCTTCGGCTCTACCACATTAGCCCAAGCCACCATCACTTATTACCTAGAGTACTGCAATAAGAGTGATGGAGTCTATCTATCTATATCCACTAGTGGCCTTCAACCTAATCTTCATACCACAATCGTCTCAAAATGCCAAAAACCAAAATATTATCCATCTGCATAACGCATTTCAAACACTTCCTGCTGCTCTAAGGAAAAAGCCCTAAACCCTTTAAATGCACTCAATCAGCACCGCAGACTCTACTTGTCTGCCAGTTTTGTTCC